TCGGGACTATATCGAACCAATTGAAAGGTATACGATCGAATTAGAATCCGCACGATTACTTTCGGACTGAAATAACAATTCTCCCATTAAAGGGTTGATGGGGATTGCTGCGGAATCGAAGGAAATCGGATGCTGTTATACTGTGGTTTAAACCGACATGTATTTACAACAATATATAGATATCAACATGAGGTGGCTCCATTTGAAAGGGCACGTTTTCCCTTTCGTTTTTATTTTATTGGAGGCTTCATTATACAAATAACGTCCATATTTATGACGCAATAATAAGAAAATGGCCTAATTCCAAAAAAAAGCACAAATTTTAAGTCGAGTGATAATTATTGTCCGAATTTTATTTTGTTCTGTAGAAAAACACCAACTTTAGATAGAGCGAAAATTTTGGCCTCAACTTTTTTTTGTCTCATAAAAAAACACAAACTTTCACTTAAATCCAAATCTAGCCCCCATTGACTTAGATACATTGATTATCCAACTTGACTATTCCACCTCAGCAATAAATTCACGTGGCTTGCTTACTAGATTAAAAGCACTATTCATTGTCTTATTTTCTGAACCACAGCTTGAAGAATAACGGTGAAACTGTTCATTTTATTCATTTCACCGGTAAGTAAAAAATATCTCCAGATTAAATCTCTCTAGTCAAACTTCGTTGTTTTATCGTAATCTGAAGCTGAAGATCACCGCTCGTCGACAGATGCTATGAATGAGATCCGCTAAGCTCACCACCATAATCTTTTTTTCTCAAACAAATGTCACTTCAGACAGAGAGTCAATGAGGGGTCAGATTTATGATAAGGGTGAAAGTTGGTGATTTTTTATGAGACAAAAAAAAGTTGGAGCCAGAATTGTCCCTCGACCTAAAGTTGTTGCTTTTTTATGAGATAAAAAAAATTCGTGCCAAGATTATCACTCGATCTAAAATTTGTGTTTTTTTTTTAAATTAACCCATGAGAAAACAGGTAATATATTCGTTACGTAAAAAAACAAATTTTCTGGCAATAAATAGTACATGTTCAGATCAAGGCGAGGGGACAAGAGCAGTTTAGCAATAGATAGAAATGATTGTGGATAAGGTAAAAAAGGAGCACAAGGACAACGTTCAGCTCGAGCGAGGAAAGTGCAAAAGTAAAAAGTGAAATGCATGGGGGTGCAAACCCAAGCTACTTCCATTTCTAGGGTTCAACCGCCCAATAGCTTATTTATTATTATTATTAAAAACCACTAATTTCGGAAAATTTTAATAATAGATTATGCTTTGATTGATCAGCATTCATTCACTTATAAAAGAAGATTAACGCTTTGTAAATTAATAATACATTTTGAAAAAAGTAATATATTTCTAATAAAGTATCTATGCTATCGAAGCACGATTAGTCAATAATCTTGCGAAAATGCCAAGCGGTCCTTTATAACATTTTTTCTTATTATATTAAGGCTACGTTTTTTCGCGTAAAAATAATGATTTGAATTTTTTTTAAATGGTCGTTTGTATTGTTTGAAATAGTTAGTCGATGAAAAATGTTTTCATTATCGATAATAATTTATGGTTAAAAATTATTGTGATCGATGAAAATATTTTCTGCTCATTCATTTATTGTAAGCAATGTGAGTGATTATTTTTAAGAAAATACTTCGTGTTGATCACGATCATTTATTTTAAATATGATGAGGTAATTTTTTTCTTCTTTCCTACATATAAGATTTAGGGATAATGGCATAAATAGTCTCTAAATTTTGGCTCAATGTGCAATTTGGTCCATGAACTTCTGAACTTTAGCTTAATGTTCAATGTAGTTCATGAACTTTTAATTTGTTCAATGCGGTCCCTGAACTTTTGGTACATGTTCAATTTAGTCCATGAACTATATGAAAATATACAATATAGTTCCTGAATTTGAATTAATGGAAAGACTATATTGAACATTTTTATAAAGTTCAGGGACTAAATTGAACATGTATCAAAAGTCCAAGGATCACATTGAACAATTACAAGTTCAGGGACCACATTGAACATTGAGTTAAAGTTTAGGGACTACATTGAATAAATTAAAAGTTCAGGGATCAAATTACACATTAAGTCAACGTTTATGAATTGTTTGTGTCATTTTTCCTAGGATTTATTGCCTGATCATGTTAGGTTTTCACCTCAATTTATCACTATATGCACGATGAACAATGCAAATTGCCATTAGTGCACTAGTAGATCTAAATGCATGCCAATCAAGCGTCATCACTCTTTCTCTAAAGAAACTATGCTTTTGTGGTTTATCTTTCCGTTATAAGTTTTTTCTTTTTATGCGCTTACTTCATTCGAACAAACCCTAATTTTCTTGTTTATTGAATAACTTGATTTCACGAAATGAGAAGCGCATTCTCGTATTTCTTACAATACCGTGATTAGTTATATCTATTGCATCATTAATGAATATTATGGTTCTGTTTGTTTCAAGGAAAATAAATGATTTGAAAATTAATTTTTTTAAATAAAAAATATTCTCATCGTTGACAAAAATTCATGTTTAGGTATTTTCGTAAACGAAGAAAATATCTTTTATTAATTCATTTTTCTAAGTGATGCTAGCGATCGTTTTCCGGAAAAATTTTGTTCAAATCATTCGTTTTCAAGAAAACAAAGTATGTTTTTTTAGGGTTAATACCACGAAAAACCCCAAACTGGTACATCGGTGACAAATTTATCAAAAACTAATTTTTTGACAACAAAAAACCAAAAACTGGTACACTTGTGATAAATTTATTCCAAAATAATATTTTGATTATAAAAAACTCAAAACTAGTATACTTATGACAAATTTATCCTTCGTTAAATTGAATTAATACTGCAAAAAATCACAAACTGGCAAATATGCTAAAACCTTAAACTGGCACACTCGTCAACTGTCATGTGTCATCCAACTTAGTTATTTGACTGTAAAATATAATGAAAATTAACGGTGGGTAAATTTGTCATGATTATACTAGTTTGAAATTTTTTACAATTAAAAAATTAATTTAAAATAAATTTATTACTAATGTACTCATTTAAGGTTTTTTGCGGTACGGATCCATGTTTTTAAAACTTGCTAAATAACAGGTACATGGTCGACTGCTCAGGATCTTGCCAGTAATCAAAGTACATGCTATAGTTAACTTTGGTGCACTCCCTAGCCTCCTACTGTATTGACTTTCTGTAAAGGACCAGTAAATCTCACTGGTCGCTCAAAGCTCTAGAAAAGGATTTGCATCCACGTGTAATCTCTTATTTATATATCTACTAATTTAAAATATATATGCTCAAATCTCAATGTGAAATAATTGGCACCCAACTTTTCACTGCACCACTCATATTGAGGCATCGGTCGACCGATAGCCTCTTGCCATCTCGATTATTCAAAAGCCAAAAGATACAACCTACCTTCACGGACGTCTATGTTTCAACTTGAATCAAATCATTATTGCTTGGGAAATATAGAACTTTGGTAATGAAATCAAAGGAATAGGAGACCTTCGAGGGGGATCTCATCATTTGGCTAGGTCCTGTAGAGAAATTTTAAGACATTGTAACCAAGGGCTGGTAGATTAAAGTGAACGCGTAAGTACGATAATTTAAATTTGTGAAGAGAAAAGATGACGAGATGATTAAGAAAATTGAAATAAGGTTCTTTGAGTAGAGCTATCTTGACGATGAATGAAAGTGTACAAAAGAACGTATCGCACGCTACGTTGTATACGAATACATATCATTCTGTCGTATATCGTCTCTATTGTAAATAACTCTTAAAACTCTTTTAATCTCGAGTCATTTCTTTCTTGAAAGGCCTTACTTACTACAATTATAATCTTGTGTTACTATATAACGATACCATAATCACAGCTTTTGTTTCCCTTTTTCATGATTCTAATCTTTCCACGTGAGGCAACCTTTCAACCTTTTTTGGACCATTTGATCTTATGAACATCAAATCTTCATCTTTCAGGGTAGAAGAAATGTCCATCGTCATGACCCGACTCCAATACTGTTTTGAGCAAAGCTGCAGTAATTTTTCTCTTTCCTGTTCAAAAAAAAGAAGAAAACAGAAAATCTCAAATGCATAAATAAACCACTGGAATCTACTAAAGTCAAAACGGAAAAATGCTAATAAGGGTAAGTCTGAATTTAAGGGGCAAATCAATACTTAAAAAGGAAAACAAGGGTAAAAAGTGTGATTAAATCCAGGTCCAGCCACAGCATCGTCAAAAGTCCATGTTCTTGTCGTTGGATTGGACAGGTGGCTTCCTCCTTGTAATAACTCCAAGGATAATACCATTGAAAACCCCAAATCCATCTATTAGCGATAAATTTACTTCAAATTAATTAAAAATTTCAAATTAATATATTTGTGATAAATTTACCCTCCATTAGTTTTCATTAAATTTTACCGTTAAATTGCTAAGTTGGATGACACGTGACAGTGAACGGGTTTATTAGTTTGAGGTTTTTCAGGTTTATCAGTTTGTTGTTTTTCGTGATATTAATCTAATTTAACAGAGGATAAATTTATCATAAGCATACCTGTTTGGAATTTTTGATAGTCAAAAAATTAACTTGGGGTAAATTTATCATTAATATATCAGTTTGGGATTTTTGATAGTCAGAAAATTAATTTTGAATAAATTTATTACAAATATATTAATTTAAGAATTTTTTATGGTATTAACCCTATCTCTCTTCCTCCATAAATTCCTGCTAATTGGAGAAATTATTGACAAACATATCATACATGCTAAAGTGAATTCGGCACGTCGGATTTGATGGGATTCGCGCGAAACTCTCGCGAGATTTATATCTTTATCGGTCAAGATTTAATTTAATATATGCATTGTACTTTTATAAAAGTTTCTCTTTTGACAAACACTAGGTTATCGACGACTTGCCGAGACAAGAAAAGAACTCCCTCCATACACTACCACCTTTATATATATGCATCGTCACCTCTCTCTCCTTCTCTCTTTCATGTCCGTGTAAAGGGAAAGAAGAACAGAGACAGAAAACAGAAAAGCCAGCGGCGATGGTGGTGGCGAGCCCGAGCCCGAGACGGACCGAGAAGGTCATCCAGGCCGCGGAGCTCCCGGCGGTCGACCTCTCGCCGTCGGGGAGATCCGCGGCGCCGCGGCTCATCGTGGAGGCCTGCGAGAGGTACGGCTTCTTCAAGGCGATCAACCACGGCGTCCCCGCCGAGGTGGTGTCGAGGATGGAGGAGGAAAGCGCCGGCTTCTTCGCGAGGCCCGCCTCCGAGAAGCGGCGCGCCGGGCCGGCCGACCCGTTCGGGTACGGCAGCAAGAGCATCGGGTTCAACGGCGACGTCGGGGAGGTGGAGTACCTGCTCCTCGAGTCCGACCCCGCCTACGTGTCGCGAAGGTCCGCCAGCATCTCCGACGACCCCACCCAATTCAGGTACGTTTCCTGGATATTTTGTGCTCCAAAAGCGAATGATTAGTACCACCGATGATCTGTTCTTTAGTCATCGCGTGCATGCGTGCGTTACTTTTCTTTCTTTCGAGCCGCGTTGAACAGTTTGCAAAGATCATTGGTTCTTGAAACCAGATATCTATATAAAGTAAACGCGCGAGTAGCTATTGAAGTAAGCCAAACGGTTTAAATACTCTACGACAATCGCGAGTTAGCTCAAATCATCTGTTTCTTAGGTTAGCCTCGATGCTGTCGATGATTGGTCACCGACGCCGACGCAAAGAGAAGGGTTTTTACGTGGGTGGGTCTGTGGTTTTGTCCAAGATTCCTGCTCGAGGATGGTGCAATCTTTCATTCCCATGCACGCTGATCCATGTGCTAGAGAGAGAGAGTAGAGAGAGAGAGAGGGATTTTGAAGATTAGGAGAACTTGTACGATCTATCTGAACTTCTGAAGCAACTGCATGCAATCGCCTGGTCAAATGGAGGGCTATGAATATCGACCTGATGCACAGTAAAAATGGTTGGAGACTGGTTTTTGCTGGAGGGTTGGTAGCTTTAGTTTAGTTTAGACTGACGGCACAGCTGGGGAAAACAGTAATAGTCAAAGGGACACAGTCCGTACCTGGAGTCCATGACCGGTGTGATGTGTTTAAGATCTCATGTCCTCGAAGTTCAAAGCCAAATCTATTAGGAAAGAATTAGTTGCATATTGGTCCATAATTTTGTTACAGTAAAAGAAAAAAAAAAGCATCTAACCCTAAGTTCGGCGAGTTTGTTCCGCACAAAGCCAACAAGTTGAAAACTATATGTCTTTTAAAAAAATGATTGGTTTTATGTTTCCAAAATGAAATAACAAAAACCCTTTTCGTTTTCATTATCCAAGAAAATATTTCGGCTTAAATTGCTCTTGATAATAAAAGATAATTTTCGCCAACTAGTTTTTTTAAACGATAAACATAATCATATTGAGAAAATATCTTTTCAAAACATCGGTTTTTTGTGGAATATAACGTACCGGCCATTTTTTCTACGATGAGAAAATCCATCTTGGTTAAGATAAATCTTGGCTTGACGAAATTATCTCCCACTTAATTTTGGAGCTTATTGTTTGGTTCAGATGCATTACACCCTTTGTTTGAACAACCGCTTCTTTTTTACTTAGAGAAGACCACTAGCATGCATTTTCACAATTTAACGGGAGCACAAAGTTTGTTTATCTCAAGGATCTAATTAGATGACATGGATAAGCCTGGGTAGCTTTAGCAGTTCTCCTAGAAGATGGGACAAGCTGTCAGAGTTGACGTTTGAAGAGAAGTTCTTTAGGTAGGTTCCACCTTAATCGCAAGAATCTAATTAGATTAATTCATCATTGGAATTCTCAACATCCGTTTGTTTGAAGACTCTACTTGCTTCTTTTCGTTTAAAACATTTACCACTAGTGTCTTTGTTTAACACTCACAGTTGACTTTCAAGGAACACCCCGTCTCCCGATATCTCGAATCTTTTAAGTACTAATTTAAACATCTGAAATCGCATTAAACTCGAAAATTAGAATAATTCTCTTACACTGCACCGAACTAAATGCATCGCTATGCGACGACCGACCGCTCCCATGTATGTATTTCTAAAGTGTTCAACTAGACATCTTCATGTCCAATTTCAGAAGGAAGAGAGAGAGAGGACATAGGCCACTCTCCCTCCAGTCTGGATACAGCAATTAGTAAGGTGCCCAAATTATAAATTTTTTTTTTTGAAAAGAAAGGCTTCAAAATTAGGGAAATTTTGCAAGAATAATGTGAGGGGAAAAATAGAAAAAGAACTAGTGGTTCGAGGACGAGGAGTGACGTGGTGCAATGAACATGAAGTGGCCCCGCCTCCTGCTGCAAGAAAAAGAGAATGGGAGCGAATGACCTTTCGACCAAAGACCAATCACATCACCACCCCCAGATGAAATTTCATACCCAAAAATTAGATAAAAAAATAGGAGACCAATAAATAAATAAATAATAAATAGTGTAGAAGTGACAGGAAACTGAAAACCCCCCTCCTTCCCTTGAGAAAATAGAGTAAAGCATTGGTCACTTTTCCAACCAAATGAAGCAACCCCCAAAAAGAGGAGATTTTTTTTTTAAAAAAAAGGGAATAAAAAATCAGGCATTTAAAATAATATTTTACCTTAGTTATAAAAGAAAATCACGCGGCTCGTTCCAATGTCGGCATATGTGTATTTTAGAAGGTTCTATATATTTTTTATTAGATTTGAAAATAGAAGGTTCTCTAACATTTGGGATGGAAAATGCCTAATGCTCAAATTTCCCACTCTTTTTCTTCACAAAATTGGCAAATTTCCACCCGAATTGTTAGCTCTTTTTTAATTTTTTTAAAATAGCACATAAGCTGATAATTTTATTATTAAATTTTTTTATGTAGAGCTGTGGTCAATGTCAGAGACACATCCATTGAGAGAGTTCAACTTATCAACTTTCTGATGAATTTGTTGTACTTTCCTCTCAATTTTTTTCCCTTTCTTCCCTTTTGGTGACAGCGCTGCTGTGAATGGTTACATAGAAGCGGTTAGGGGCCTGGCCTGTCACATATTGGATCTGATGGCGGAGGGCCTGCGGGCCCCGGACACGTCCGTCTTCAGCAGGCTCGTCCGGGCCCCCGACAGCGACTCGGTCTTCAGGATCAACCACTACCCCCGGTCCGGCGCCGTCCTCCACGGCGAGGTCGGGTTTGGGGAGCACTCCGACCCTCAGATCCTGACCGTCCTCAGATCCACCGACGTGGGCGGCCTCCAGATCTCCCTTGAGGACGGGGTGTGGACCCCGGTGCCCCCTGACCCCGCGGCTTTCTGGATCAACGTGGGTGATGTTTTGCAGGTCTCTCCTTATATCTCTCTTTTTTTGAATATCATCCTGCGAAAGTCTAATTCAAGGAATTAAAGAATTTGTGGACAAGTAACTCAAATATCATGATCCCTAAAAATAGCAAAAAACCCAATTTTCAACACCATCTAAACTGTCGACCCAAAAAAATAAAAAAACACCATCTAAACTAAATAAATTTCATATTTGATCTGTTATATCGGGATTTAGAGTTTCCATCTTGCTTAAAGAACGATGAAGAGGTCAATTTTTCACGTCGTCGGGATTTACCCGCTTATAATGGGTCACCTCGTCGTACATTTAATAGAAATCTAAATGGAATAATCAACAATTACATCTTCAAAGTATTGATCAACGAGCCTCAGAAAATTTTGTAAGGATGCTTTTGTATAATTCTCAATAAAGAAAAACGAAGGAAGGGAAGAAGAAAGGGGGGGCTTCAACTCAATTTGATTGATTGATGGGAGGTAGGGAAGAGGAGAGAATCAGAATCACTGCAGAATGAATCTCAGAGCCTTGCCATGTGGGGGTCCATCCTGTCACAAAAGAGAAAGTACATGGGTCTTTTTTATTAATTACGAGGACTTTTGTGAAAAATTACTAGAAATATTGGGGGGAGAAACTTGAAAAAAGGTGTGTCGAAGGGACTTGCCATTTATGGTTGGCACTGTGTGAGGAGCAACTTCCTAGGAAGATGTTCTGTTTTGAGTCACCCCTTTGGTTCTTTGCTCATGGTAACTTACCCTTTTTGATAAAACTGTCAGAGAAAGCATTTCGTGACCAATTATTCGACCAACACCCATCTGCGGAATTTTCAAGTTGGGTCAGCAACATATTTTTAATTTTTTTTCAATTTCCGACCAACACCCGTGGTAGACGCATGGCTCGTCTTGTCGAATATTTTGTTTTGATACGTAGATATTTAATTGAAAAGACGTATGGAGTTATTAATTGGATCGCGCCATTGATGTATAACTTAATGTCGTAATTTGATTTAGTAATTCACTTTCTTGTAGTATTAACCTTTGGGATTGGGAGTTTATGATTAGGTAAAAGGATAGCTTAGCTTGTCTAGGAACATGGTGAAACTGACATTGGACTTGCTCATCTAAACGTTTCAAGAAATCTTGCAGGAACAAAAATCATTTTTAGCAGGAGTTATGTCCTTTGGTAGATGCCCAATTTGCATTCTTTAACTATTGCATTCTTAGGTTTAACTATTGGCCCGGACGCCCAAACATCAATATATCCTCTAGCGCGCATCATTATCGATCTAACAGACCACGATCCACTATGAGAACAAATTAGATTGAACTTTTGAAAGATTTCCGGGAGTGGTTTTCACTTTTGATTTGCGGCGCACACATTTCGACCCCCAATATTTTTTACTTCAAAATTAAGATCTTGAACCTTTCATTCAAGCTTTTTGATAATTTTTAAAATTTTGCATGTGTGTGTGTACGTATAAATATATATATATATATATATATATATATATATATATATATATATATATATTAGATTTTGGCTTGGTTTATAGATGAAATGTCTCTATTTCTTGACTTAGCTTCTTTTTGTGTTTACTCTTACTTGACTTGTTGCAGGCTATGACGAACGGGAGGTTCTTGAGCGTGAGGCACAGAGCACTGACCAACCCGTTCAAGCCAAGAACGTCCATGGCGTTCTTCGGGGCGCCTCCGCTCCATGCACGGATCGCTCCCCAGCTGGAACTGGTAGCTCCTCGAAGGCCCTGCCTCTACAAGCCCTTCACCTGGGCCGAGTACAAGAAGGCCGTCTACTCCCTCAGGCTCGGGGACACGCGGCTCGACCTCTTCAGAGCTAGCAAAGAAGACGGCATCGATTAGCGAGCAGGTGAAAAGGAGGAGGAGGAGAAGATGGTCTTCTCGTTTTTGCTTTTTTTCTCTCTTTTGTTGTTGGGTCTGTCGTGAAGTGAATTTTGGGTGTGCGGGTTCTTGTCCCCTTCCTCTCTGTTAGCAGCAAGAGAAGCTTCCCGGTGTTAGTGTCTGGATTGGTGTAAGTAAGGGCGAATGAAAGGTATCTTAGGCGATAAATGTTATATTTGGGGGCTTTTATCTATCAACTGATTTATCTCCCTTCGTGTTTGTATCTATCGCATGAGGCAAATTGAGAAAGGTCACGAACACTAGGGTGCCCTTCGCACCGATTTTTCAAAGTCGATATAAAAGAGCTGTGGCTGACGTTTATTTAGCATTAAACGTGACCTGCGATGCAGCTGAAACCATGCAAAATGGTGTGCTGTGGCTAACGTTGATCTAGTATTAAATGTGACCCGCGATGCAGCCGAGATCATGCAAGATGGCGTTTGTTCAAGTACCGATGTTTCTACCAAGTTCTAATGAAGATATACTTTGCAACTTGAATGATACCCATTAGCTTAAGCATATGGATTGAACTTTCTAAAGGTATCATTACGTGTCTGCACTCTACACTGGTTTAGAAATGTGGTGGCGCTTGTGAAAATACAGCCACCTATGACTGATAACTCCTTCTGAACTACAGAGACAATTGCTTCACAACGGTTCAATTAGCCATACAAGTAAATGCTCTACAGCAATGTTGGTTAGAACAAACAGAGGAAATGTCAGCTTCATTCTGATACTTCCCTACCCATTTCGAGTGACATGACATCCATGTTCGTTCGGAAAATGCAGGTCGCTTGATTGTAATTATGTTATCAAGCCGGAGGCGCCTTCTGTTGTCCTTATTATTCGATAAAAGAACACTGCATCAAGTTAAAGACTGAGGTCTAGAGTTGAGCCGCGAACACTTCTTTCGCCCAGATTTACCGAGTGAACAAACACATATCTCCAGAAGCTCGTAATCTTCTTCCCAAAACAACATGGAAGCCAACTCCGGCTTCTCAAGTAGCATTTTCGAGGTTAGAAAACCGGCAATCGTCCATGTTTGGAATAGCCTCGATTGCTTGCCGATGAATCTCCCGCTCCTCGTGTCGTAATATTCAGGCCAATCATCTGCAGAAAGCCTTTTCTCAGCCAAATCGACCGCCTTCTTTGCTAATCCCGGCTTTCCCATCTTGATGCAGGCCAATGTGAACTGAAATAACAAGCAGTAATGATATATACATAGCCATCTTAATTAATTACAGAGCGATCTTATGTTCTTCCCTTAGATTGAAAGAAATATGCCCTTTTTTCCCCTCGAACTGCAAAAGAAAATTTACCTGCCATAGAAGTGTTGGCCAAGATCCGCCGTTGTGGTACGACCATGGGCTGCAAGCAAATGGTGGGAATCAGCATCAGTTATACATTGGACACGGACTGATTGGCGAAAAATGTCAAATAAAGCTATTGAAGAGAGTATTAGACACGAAATGGAATACTGAAAGAGCCTTACGTGTTCTTGGGATCGCTTCCAGTAATTATACGCCACTCTTCAGACTCCAAGGCGGGGTAACAAATCTTTAGAGGCATATGAGCCACAAGATCATCCCATTTGGCTTCAATTAAGTTCAAAATACCCTCGTTCTGCTTCTGGGTACCCAACGAGGAAATGATGGCCCACAGATTTCCAAGTGTGAAGAACCTAAAATCCATATGAGCAGGCTGTAAATTGCCAATGAGATAACCACCCGTCTCCGGAATCCAGTCGACCAGCCAAGACGGGATCTGATCCGGGTAGATATTGAACTTATTTATGGCTTCTGTGGAATACTCCTCTGTATTATATCGGTATATCTCATTGATCTTCTTCATGTCCACCCAATAATATTCTCTTATGTGGAATGAGAGTGCGCTGAGTCGGTTGTTTATGGCAGCCACCAACTTCTTAGTTCCATCATTGACAATGAGAATTTCTCTAGAACAACGTAAAGCCGAGTAAAACAATGCCTGCATATCAGATTCAATCAGCTAATGTTGTATAGAGACGGGAAAGGCTGATGAACAGAAGGTTAAGAAAATAAAGATCAAATGCTGGCCCTAAAACAGTTGTATCATTGTAGCTACCTCATGCCACAATCATGGGTACTGAGCGTACATGCCAAAAAAATTGTGACACAAGACTTTAGAGAATCAGGTCATATTTGGTCATTACACATAAGGAGATATCGGACGCTTTTAAAACTGTCTGCTCTAAAGCAAGAAAATGAGCACATAATCACTAATGTAATAAAAACATTCGGGACATTTCATCTTACTTGAATTTCAAGGGGGTGTCCATGGATTCCCATCCTCCTATCGATCATGCAGGAACCATCGGTGACCAGCAATGTAGGAAACATGTCGAAACCATCAGTTAGACACAAGTTAAGGATCAGTCTTATGCCTGTCTGAACTTCTACTCTCTCTTGCAAAGCATAGTCACCAGTGATCTTTCCGTAAGCTCTCAGCAGTATAATCCACCATAACCCTGCCAGCCGAATATAGTCACATATGGTTCAGATTAATCATGCCAACCATGTCAATAAAATGGAATTATCTTGTAATTCAACTCAGCAACCCCACAAACTCATCTCACAAAATCATTAGCAACAAATCTTCTAATGTTTCGAATGAATCTATCGATATAGATGGATAAACAGAAAGTCTGATACCAGAATCAACTGGAGCAACACGGCCAATGGCTGATTCCCCAAAATCTGGATCTAGAACTTCCTCAGATGCTCCATCACTTCCTTCAAGAGGTACACTACGGACTTTGAAACTAGCTGGCATCAACCCTTGGCCAGGACTATAGCAGTCAACTGTCTTCTCCCAACTCTAACATTAGAGAGAGAGAGAGAGAGAGAGAGAGAGAATTAAACCCAGGAAGGAAAGAAGAGGGGACAAATACTCTGCGAGAGAGCACAAGTCCTCTATGGCAATCTAGTATTATAAATCACTTTCTTGCTGGACAATCTAGTATACTCTTCCATATATTACCTAACCAGGGGTAAAATTATGCGTAAATCAGAATTTGAGTTAATTAAGCGGCTCAAGTGGCTATTTAACATGTATTAAACATGGTTATCAAATATATTGTGTCGGTTTCTTTACACTTTATAATTTTGGGTTCTTGAACAGAGTGAATGGGCATGCTCTTAAGAGCAACCAAAACCAGCCTGCATATACTTTCATGCCTCAGATGGACATGTATCGGTCCTGCATATCATAGATTCAGCAGGAGATAAAAAAACTAGTTTTCTCGCTTCTATAATGTGGAACGAAAAAAAAAAAAACATTTAGAATTTCACACACAAAAATTGCAATAAGAAATGCCAAAGAAGTACAAGCTACTGCAGACATAACGGTACCTGCAATTGCAAGGTGTGAAGCAGAAAGTTCTTGACAATCTCTCCTTCTCCATTAAGCAAAAATGCCAGCGCAGAGGGGACAAAATCACGGATGAAGACCTGATCATAGTTGAGAGCTTGCTTGTCCAAGAGATCGTTAGCCGCGACCGTACCTACAGGGTTCCCACAATAGTTCACTACGGCACTCCGGAGCAACTTCCACGCCTCCTTTTCTATCTCAGACACTTCTCTCTCAACCGTCTTCTCTTGCAACCCTTTCAAACTATCTATATTTACAGTAGAACCATCAGCCTCTATCCTATCGCGATCTTCTTCCTTCGCGATGCCATGATCCGTCTCAATTCTCTCAATCACGAGAGGCTTCACATTCAACCCACCTTGAATGTATATACTCTCGAAGCTCTTCTGATTTACATGAGCTTCGATTGATGTCGAATGGTTCCTAAAATCAGACGCTACGCGGGGTATTACTAAAAGACCCCTCCTACCATTTACCCGACAGCTACCCACCCTAGACTGGCCCCAGCTCGAATCGGAGATACAAAAGGCTCTCCGATCCGGATCCACCGCACACAGATGACCCGAAAACCGGGGCTTACCATAGCCGCGGCGAAACGCGTGCTTGAAGCGTGATTTCGACGAATTGTTGAGACACGGGCTGTTCGACTTCGTGGCCGAGACCCCGAAGATCGAGGAGGATCTGTACCTGATCAGGATTCTACAGCAGGGCTTCACAGCAGAGATCCCAATGGAACTGCTGGTGCTCATCCTGTTCTATATACCACCTGATGTATACTTAAAAGACTAACTATAACCAGGGGGTGATTCTGAACAACACCCAATACAAAGCTCTGCTAAATCTCTAGAAAAGCTAGATGAACAGAGAGATATACAGCGGCTATAACAATTGGAGACTTTGAAGATCTACAGTGACAACAAGTATGGACCAATTGGGCACCACAAAAGAAGAACAGTATAACTTAAGAATTACAGAAGAAAAGAGGAAGAAGAAGAAGAACTAGAACTGATTCGTGACTTACAGTTTCTAGCAAACAGAGGGCGTTGAACGAATGTGTTGGATTTGAAGATTGGTAGATTTCGAGGGAGGGGTTCGAGTTGGCGCATTTATAGAAGAAGAAGGGGAGAGAGGAAAGTTCGTTGACGGTGAAGGTTGGGATTTTTCTTGGAATTTTTTTATTCGGAAGCACGTCGAAATTACTTCCTTGGCCCTTCTTTTCGGCCCCGCACGTGTAAGGTGTTTTTCAAAGGTTGGTGGTGAAATTACTGTTCCGGCCCCGCTCGGGGAAGTGCTGGAGAGGCGGGCGATGCACGGGACATCACGGGCAAATGCGTCAATTGATAATTCCATTTTATGTCCCGTAATTTTCTATTCTAGGAGCTTATACCTTCCGTATTGCCACAACAACCTTCCAAGAAAAGTTCAAATCTCAAAAACGATTTTCTCTTCTTGTCCACGCGCGTACAACTTTTACTTTTCGTCGCATATTTTAAAAGTATTTTCTTTGATACGAATAAATCTCAATAGGATTTTTTTGAAATGTCGCTTCCTCGTATACACAGACGGCGTGTGTACTTTCGCCGGTAAGATTGACGATAAACCATTTGACCACGAAACTAGGAATTTACAAAATTTACTGTCTTGCGAATTGTTCTCTTGAAATCGCGTTTGCATAAAATCACACATTAAAACCCCATGGTATTTCGGGAGTGAAAAAAGAATTTGGTTGCTTCACGCATGTTACAACGTCCGACAAAATTCAACA